TCCTCGGGTCCCAGGCCAGCCCCCGGGGGCCCTCCAGCCTGGTCCCGGGAAGAGGGGGTGGGCTGGGGGCCATCGGGTGGGTGGCTCTGTGCCGTGCCAGGTGCAGGGTCTGCTGGCTGGGTGCTGGCAGGCTTGCCCCTGGCACGGGCACTGTAGCCAGACCGTGCCCCTTTAAGGGCTCCGGCGCCGGGAGGGGGGCAGACGAGTTTCCCTGGGGGTGCCCAGAGTGGCCACCAGGGCAAGCTGGGGAGGGCTAGCCTCCCACTAGTTCGAATTAAGTGGCTACACAGCCCTTAATTCGAACTACTTAATTCAAACTAGGCCTTAGTCCTCGTGCAATGAGGTTTACCTAGTTCGAATTAAGCACTCCGCTAGTTCGAATTAAGTTCGAACTAGCGGTTTGTATGTGTAGCACCTATCAAAGTTAATTCGAACTAACGTCTGTTAGTAGATGGAAACCTGAAGCACAAAGAGGTTAAGTGACTTACCCAAGTTCATGCAGGGAATCTTTAGTAGAACTAGAAATTGAAGCCTGTCTCCTGAGTGTCAGTCCAATGCCTTAACCATACGTCCATCCTTTCTCTTTAAATGAACCTCAGTTAAAAATAATAAATTATAGCAAGTTATATAGTCCCTGAAACAGATTCTATAAGTCAATATCATTTTTGTATATAAACACACAGAGGAGGTATCTGGTTTCATACTCTTATGTCTGAATTTGCATTTGTTTCTGTGGGAAAGTGTTAGAGACAGGCCCATGTATAAATTTAGCAGGATAGATTCTTGGAGCCAACTCGGCTTCACTTGCAGAGAATGAGAAGTGTCTGCTCCTCTAGTCCCAGGCTGCCAGACAATGGTCTAGTCCTCAGCATAAAACAGAGCATGTAAAGATTCCCGTGACCCAAAGGACCATTCTTATAGCTAAGGATCAGCTGAATGCAGCAGCATCCTAGCCACGTCCCCTTTCATCTGCCCACTTGCCCATTGTATGGCGTGGAGCCCCTACCCAACTCAGTACAACCAGACAACTCCCATGTAGAGAGGGGATGGATCCTCACGTTGCTCTTGATGCTGCCCTGTACCAATATCCTGGCAGAGCCAAATATTTGGTTGAGTGGCTTAAGCCCTGCTCCCACCAGAACCAAATCAAAGTTTTGCCATTGACTTCAACTGGAACAATATGCCTATTACAATGAACCCACACAAACACAACTTCAAATTGTCCCCTGTAGACTAAGAGCAAACATAGTCCCTATGGTATATTGGCTGAAGCACTTGAAGAGTTATGCTGAACTTCGTTCAAGGCATTGGATGTAACTGTTCTTTTTGACAGCTTTTGTTTAAAAATAGAAGGGAGATTTCAATAACTGAGGTGAGGATGAGTGGCTGAAATCAATATTCAACTGGTCTGAGGGAAACCAGTTCAAAACATCAAGGAGACTTACACAGTCCTGGGTAATATAAACAGTCATATGTGGGACAAGCATATGCAGCTAAAATATGTGTCCAGTAAAACTAGTTTCACCACTGCTTGCTAAGTCTCGTCTCTGAAATTGGGTTCTGAGTCATAGCCCTTAGCTGAAGTTATTAGCATTTACTAGAGAGTGCCCTGCTGTATGTTCAGCAGCATAAAGAAGAGAATAAGGAGCAGTGTAGAGCTGGAGAACACAGGACGGCTCTATTGATTGCACTGTAAGTAATATTTTATTCCTTGGAGAATTGTAATCCATGTTTCCTGTGCTACATGCGGGTTGGTTCATGGTTAATCAGTTGTGGAATTATTCCATCCATACACAGGTTGCTTTTGTTCAACCTTAACCTTTAAAAAAACATCTGAGCTACATCTTTGTAGGCAAAAGCTCCTTTCAGATAAACTGTGTCTCCAGATGTTTTAATTAATTAAATAATACATAGCACTAGATGTGGTGTGTGACATGGAGATTGTAGAGTGAGCACATGAAAGCATTATGCCATAAGTTCAGTCAGAGGGAGAGAGAAAAGAGAGCGTAATATAAGTAGCAAACGGTATGATTTAACATGAGACTTCAAAAGAGCGAGAGCCAAGGAGGCAGAGGGTTCTTGCAGCAGCAGTAGAGGAATTTTGCTTGGAGGCAGAGTATGAGAAGCTGCAATAAGCCTAAAATGCTGTAAAATCAAGTAGGACACATATAAATGTGTTACTGACATGACAGGGGAGTCATGGTGGATACTTGAACGTGGATTTGCTACAGTTGTACTTCCTATCAGTCTATGAAAAGGCAAGGAGCAGCATACTTAAACTGGCTGGATTTGGGGCCTTTGATGGAATATGGTGGTGGAAAATGCCAATGCCAAGATGCGAGTTGATGGAGGTAGTCAAATTAAGCCAAAGAGAGATGCCCAGATCCTAGTGAATGTGAGTATTAGACACATGACTAACTCCCTTTGACCCCTTTGAAAATCCCAGACAAGATGTTGGTTCCTTCAGGGTATTTTATTTCCCCTGGATGGAGTGGGTACTGGGCATGTTCTGGTTAACATATATGCAGGACTGTTGTTTCCTTTTATTTTGTCTATTGATCTAAGCCTAGACACTAAATACTAGTAGTTTATGCCCGGTAATATTATTTCAGTATTTAAAGATGCTGTTACCACAGGTTCATTGACACTGATCGTTCCCACACCACTTTGGATAGTGGTGTTGTTTTGGATAGTACTGTCCTCCCCTATTGTTTTGGATAATACTGTCCTTTTCCATGGTTCTGTTCATTCTTAGTTTCTCAAGGTTTTGCCATTTCATCCCCATTGCCCCCTTTGTCAGCATTGCTCTTTCCTCTTTTTTAATGATCGCTAGGATCTCCTCAGTTCTTCATGATTTTTAAAACATAATTGTCATTGGTTTGGTACATTCATTTACAATTCCCCTAACACTTTGGTATGCGCATTACCTAGACTTGTTGATATGTTTGTATATATTCACTAAGCTTTTAATAGGCATTATTTGCCTAGAGCAATATTTTGCTCCTGTTAATTACAAATACTTTTAAAAACCTGTTCATCTTGTATGAAGCCATAATAAGTTTTCATCCATTTTTCATTGGGTCTATTTTCTCTCTAATGTCTGCATTTCCCCATAACACACTTGTAAAAGTCATTCTTTTGTTCTCCTTTTGGTAACATAAATACTGGTTTCTTTTTGCCTTATCTTTGCCTGCAAAAGTAGGCTGACTATTCTTTTACTTCCTCCTCCTTTTTGTTGCACTATAAGGATAAACTACGCAACTTCCGCTATGTCAATTGCATACCTTAAGTCAAAATAGCTTAACTCAGCTTTTTGGCACTGTCTTTCTTTGACTTCCCTTCCTCCTCATGAAGTGAGGATTACAGGAGTTGGAGTAGGAAGTCCTCCAGCTCAACATTATTTCAGAATAACAGTTTGTAGTATAGATGTGCACTATGTTATTTCAAAATAACATCAGTAAGGGTATGTCTACAATACAGAGGGGTTTTTTTTCGGAAAAATGGCTGTTTTTCCAAAAAAACTTCAATTGCATCCACACTGCAATCATGTTATATCGAAAGAAAATTGAAAGAACAGCGGGGTTTTCCAGCATTGGTAATCCTCTTTCTATGAGGAAGAAGCTTTTTTCCAAAAGAGCTCTTTCAGAAAAAGGCGTGTGTGGACGGGGAGGAGAGAGTTCTTTTGGAAGAAGAGGAAAGAAGGTGGCCACTCCATCCATAGTAATCACAGTTTAAATGCAAGATAGTGTCCATTCAGTGTGGATGCTATCTTTTGAAAAAGCAGATTGCTTTTTCGATGCCCATTGGCAGTGTGGAGGCGCTCTTTCGGAAGAAGTTTTTTCAGAAGATATCTTCCAGAAAAGCTTCTTCTGAAAGAAGCCTGCAGTCTAGGTGTAGCCTAACTCCAAAATAATGCTGCTGTATAGACATACCCTAAGTTTCTTTTAACCCTCTGTCCCTCTCTGAAAAATGCAAACAAATGGGGGAATGACTGATTTCAGTAAATTCTGGTCAACTACACCTTAATTATGGAGTTTTTTAAAGATACTTCCGTCTTCTTCCACATTCATGGATTTTAACATTATTTCTTTCACAGTTCATTCAATAATATCCCCAAATTTGTTTTCCTTGAAATATAATATTGCTAGAACCTCTTACTCCTTTCCTCACTATATTGAAGTCAAGTAGTCTGTAGTTACTGCTATCATATCTCCTCTATATTATGTTCAGGCTCTTAAACAATTCTTTCTTATTGTTGAGCATGTGTTTAAAACGACAAGATTTATAGACCAAATATGTTTTTTCTTACAGAACCTTAGAAAAATGAAGTCAGTCTTCCTGTGTTTTGTGATTGCTGGGATTCATGCGCATACACTTTGCCAACAGAACTCTACCAATGACAGTCCTGAAAATTACAACTATGGAAACCGAAACCAAGTAGGTCCAGCAAATGAAAATATGTTGGGTCAGAAAGTAGGAAGAAGCATTTGTCAGTTTGCATTTGACTTTTATAAGGAGGTTTCTTCTCAGAGAATCAACAGGAATGTGTTCTTCTCTCCTATGAGCATCTCCACTGCCTTTGCAATGCTGACACCGGGTGCAAAATTAGAGACACTGCAACAGATTCTTAGAGTGCTTCGCTTTAAAGCAAATGAGATTGAGGAAAGTGAGCTTCATGAAGGTTTCCGTCATCTCATGCAAATGCTAAACCGCCAGAGTGCTAACTTCCAGCTGGATATGGGGAATGTCCTGTTTATGCAAGACCAGCTGAAACTGCAACAGCAATTTTTAAAGGAGCTAAAAAATTCTTACAGAGGAGAAGCTTTCC